TCGGAAATAGTATAGAAATATGCTGTAAAATTATGTGAAAACATGAATAAAACTACACATCTTCAGATGTTGTACATACATAAGTGTCCTACACTAATAATACAAAGTTATTATGGCTGTGTGTACCTTGCCTAGTGGTTAAAGCACGTTATTGAATTATTGTTTTTATGTGTTATATTTGATTAAAAAAATATTAAGAGTACATACTTTCATAGGGGGAAAGTAGAAGGTCTGTGATAGAAATATAGAATACACAAAATCAAGAAGATACTATAAGTAGGGATGCTCCGTTCGCCAATTTCGGGGCCGATCACCGATCGCCGATCCGATCGAGTGGGCGGGGCCTAAATGGAAGATTTAAACATCACTTTAAATCTTCCATTTAAAATGATGTTTAAAACTCAGTTAATGGGACTCATTCACTGGAGCTTCCACAAACAACAATCAACTTAATTATTACATTCAAATGATGTACATTATTCAAGTTTACATTCACTTTGGATAATAACACGGGAGAAATGAGCGGAAGCGCTCTCTTTTCCTCTCTCCCTCTCTCTCTCCCCCCTCTCTCCCTCTCCTGACAGCCGGTCAGTATCTCATGCAGCTCACTGATCCAGTAATGAGTGACCCGACAATGAAGAATAAATATATTTATAACAACTAGTTTAGCTTGTTCCAGAGGTAGATAAAATAGCTAAGTGTGTTAGGTCTAACTCTTACGGTACGTCCACACAGCAGCTTTTCAAACATCTTGAAAATCTTGGAGCTGGGCGTGTCTGAAAGCTTGGGGATTTTTTGCGAGCATCGCGACCAACAACCAATCACATGAATCTCCCGCCCCCGACATACAAAGCAAAAAAACCCGGGGATTTTATGCGAGCAATATATATATATATATAAACTCCCCAAACAGGCGAAAACTTACCAGTTTCACCCACTGTCTCTGCCACCTCCCTCCATGCCTGGTTCCTCCGGTTTGTATCCCGTTAATAGTTCTGGTCGTAAAGAACCGGGTGATTTGCTACCGTAATTTCTCGTTTGGAATATGAGGAAATGAACTGCGGTCTGGTTCTCCCTGTGTGTGTGTTTCGCTGCGCTTACCGGTCCGGCGGGCGGAGCTGCAGGATTTCTGCTTCACACACGTTGCATACCGCTATTTTACTGTCTTTTTCGGACACCTTAAAATAATGCCAGACCGGTGAAGCCATTTTGGCGAGCTTGTTTTGCCGCACACAGAGAAAAGTGTCATGTATTTTACGTCATGCGATCGGCTCTCGCGATCGGCATGTTTAGAGAGCACCGATCGATCGGTAGAGAGTGAGTATCGGCCGATATCGATCGGTGACCGATCGATCGGAGCATCCCTAGCTATAAGTGATCTCTACAATAACAGTTTAGTGCAGGATGTACAAAGATATTAATAGGAGGAGGTGCAAAAGAGAAAAACGAATTAACCTCTATTTAAACATTAAATAATAGTTTAGATTAAGGTCTTCTTTTAAATAAGAAAAAACTTTGGGGGTAGGCTATCTATCTACAGATAAATATTAAGCCTGACAAAGTACTTAACGTCTAATATATTGCTTTCCTGCAATGTTAACTATGTTGAAGCACTTATTTTAACTGATATTATACATATGAATTATACTCTTATGTATGTAGATAGTATAAGAAATGTGCAGAATATGACAGTTTAATGGTGGAGGTATACACATATATTGATAGATGTCTTGTAATGCACTGTTGAGGAACCTGTGACCAAAGTTTTTCATTCATTGCATAACTACACCGTAGTTGTGTATATGATATGTCAATAAACCTTTGAAAATCTTGAAAGGGATGTGCAAAATAGCCATAATATACAGTCTTTAATTAACTATTAGTAGAGAATAACGAGTAATTAATATACTTTATTACTCGTTTCCATTCATGTCAATTGCAGATACATGTTTAGTCTTCTCAAGCACCAACTATCAAATATCTCTCCTGATTGTTGGCACTTGACAATCCCCTTCCCTGAATTTTACTCTGGTGTAACTAAAGTCTGATTTAAGGGTTGTTTATATTTCACATCATTAATTAGAATCTGCAAAGTAACTCAAATAAATGTAGTGGAGTAAAAATACCAGGTTAACCTCTGAATTGTAGTGGAGTAGAATTACAAAGTAACAATGAGCTGTCATGTGGTATATATTAATTAATGCTGCGCATTATGGACACAAGCGATTTTCACCCATTTATTAATTATATGTTTTACATTTGATAACACCAATGTGTTTAATACTGGCAACTTCTAATTGTGGGAAAACGAAAACGTTCAGTAGAGACGTCCCATAGAACATTTTGCGAAACACAATAGCCAGCATGTGTAGTTCTAGGGGGGCGTTCGATTCCAGTTTTGGATAGTCTGGCGTGGTTTCGTTCCATTTCAAACAGCTGTTTGACGCTCGGCGTAACCTTGGCGCACTGCCACTCCAACATCCAATCCCAGAGCTTGAAGATTAATCACGGGGACAGTAGTCCTAAACGATAGCTGGGGATTATGGGTAGTGTAGTGTCTTCGGCCATCCTAAACTCCAAGAGGCCTACGTCTGTTTCCGGTTATTTTTATTTTGAAATTCAGTTCCTGTCGGACGCCAAAAAAGCCAGAGATTATGGAATTAAACCAATAAATAAAAGCAAGGATAATTGTGTGTTATTGGTGAGTAAATAACAGTGTGTTATTTTGAAAAGAATAACAAATTAGAAGGAAAAAAAGATTTAAAAAATACAGATTTCAGTATCCTGAGGCTCTGAGCCCCTTTTATTTTCCTCACAGACGGCAACAAAAGTCAGAAATTATACGATTTAAAATAAAAGCAATAATTGTGGCTTGATATTGAGTAAGAACATGTTTTTATGAACCACACAGCTTCCGGTCTTTCACGACCCGACCGGAGAAAAAGACGTGCTGCAGGCACGAAACACATTACCAGTAGAAATACATTGCTTTTAAAATCGTGCTGTGCAACACGAAAAAAAAGGGGGAAATCGTGTTGGTGAACACGAATCAATAGATTAAAAATCGTGTTGGTGAACACGAAATGCCATGAGACTGGGTTGGCCGTGGAGGACCCATCAGTGTCTCCTCGGTTAGAGCTCCTCCAGAGAGCCTCCTCGATGCTCGGTCCTCGAAGTGCATTTAGAGAAATGAGATGTCCTTCAAAATGGCGCGCTGAAATTCATTTCCGGGTCACTATTGGAGGACCGAGGAGTCGAGGAGGGGAAATTTGAGTATTGAGAAACCTCTCAGGTTGGTAAAATGCTAACTCACTTCCGGGTTGTAGGACTTGTCACTGCACCACTCTATAGGTCCTGAACAGTAATGATGAGTCAAATGCACAGGGCACATTTCCCGATTATTCAACAACCTAAAATACATAATGAAGTTGTGTCAGGGCCTTCCAAAGGAAATATGTGACCAAACAAACCGGGAGTCAAGTAGAAATCACGTAGCCACATTGTTATTTTAACCAAGTTGTGCGTCCTCAAAACCAGTCATACATCCTGTAGGGCGATTTGTGCTGCATATGTGGTTGGCTGCTGTAAATTAAATGTATGGCTGTTGTGAAACCATACTAATGTATGAAATATTAATAATATCCGCAGAGCTTCTCTTATTCAGCTGCAGCGCATATCTCCTCAGGCTCAGTGTCTGAACCATGTTCTACATGACGTCTGCCGAAAGGCGGAATAAAGTTTTAAAGACCTCTGTGTCACACACATAGATTATAAAACACCACACACACACATCTGTGACTTCACTAGCAGCTTAATTAGGTAGCTATCCATCCAAAAATGAACTGTGCCTAATATGGATTTTTCACAAAAAAGTTGAGTTAGGACCTATCTATCTATCCTAACTCAACTTTTTTGTGGAAAATCCATATTAGGCACAGTTCATTATTAACATTCTAAATTAGGATTATACTTATCCAACCGAATTTAGCACTGAAGTATTAAAATCCAAAAGGACGCAGTACACTCTTTATCTACGGCTCCATGACAATGCTACATTGTGAACAACAGGTCAATGTTTGTTGTTAGCATCCTACTTCTACTCTGCTAAATAACAGAGCTAACAGCTAACTATAATTTACGGAGGTTCCATAGAGAGGTGCAGTGATGATGTTTTTTTTGTAGGCCAACCCAGGGGTTAGAATCACAAGAGCTCCCTGACAAAAAGCAATTGGATTTTTCCATTGCATTTTGGAATATTACACATTACACGTTTTGTTCAGCAGGATAATCTGCACATAATAACAACACTCTAGGATTTTTGAAGCATAAATGCAATTGGCAGAAGTTAAAATCTAACGTTAAGCTATAAACACGGTCGTCCGCATCCCCACGCTAAGCTAAAGGCGGCTAATGTTCAGTGTGATGAAGTTCAAAAGTCTCATTAGCCACTAGCAACCGCTGTTTTTTTTACACATTAAGCTTCAACATTCACCAGTGCCTATTTACTGATGTATTTATGTTGTAGAACAGAACATGAAAATCTCTCCAGCTAGTGTTAACCACAGACCTTATTTCAGGTATTTATGTGATTCTACTTTATTCAATTCAATAAATGTTCCACAGTAACCATGGAAACTGCTAGTGAGAGACACGGCAGGCTATATATATATATATATATATATATATATATATATATATATATATATAAAGAGGATATACTTACAGTAAGTGCAGCAGATGGGAAACAACAAACCTTTGGCTCGCAGGCTCAATGGGCAGGTTGAACCCCCCACCCCCCCACACACACACACACACATACACACACATACTATCAGCCACCTCTGCCAGGGCATGGGGCTAGACAGGTTGTTTGCCATTTAGTGCACGTGCAGTGCAGACTGCAAAGTGACTGCCTGTTCTGTCCGTCTCTCTCTGAGTCCAGTCTGTGTTTACTGCACTACATTTCCCAGAAGTCATCTCTTTCTCTCCCTCTCCTACAGCCAACTGATGATGGATCTATTCCGCAGAGGAGAGCTGGGGCTGCTGGGAGGAGGAGAGGGTCTGAGGGATGACGTGAGCATTCCCGGCATCAGCTGGTCAGCCAATCGGATGCCAGAGGACATGTACCCGGCATCAGGATTGGCCCTGGCTGCCGCCTATCATGATATCAAAACCCGGCTGGCCAGTCTGGAGAGGGAGAACAGCAGCATCAAGAGGAAGCTCAAACACTACGAGGTCAAGGTGGAGAGCAGCACACACACACACACACACACACACACACACACACACACACACACACACACACACACACACACACACACACACACACACACACACACACACACACACACACACACACACACACACAAACACTTTAAGACACATTTAAGACATTTATAATAAGTCAATGCATTCTTCTTCTTCTCAGTTTCCTATAATCAGTGAGTTTGGGGAGGAGAGGTTACTGTGCTGTTCCTGTGATCCCCTCATCAACGACACCAGTGTGATCCAATCAGAGACCACCAACCTGCAGCAGAGGATCAACTCTCTCACTCAGGAGGTACTGGGAACATCAAGTATTTCTGATGGAGAAGTAACCAGATACAGAGCTGATAGTTTAGACACAACTGTGGAAGGGTGTGCATGTAAGGCAGGTCACAGAATAACCTGGAAAGGGTTCTTTAAAGTTAAATACCTGTTTACTAATCACAATTGGGGAAATCATTTGACTGCTAAGCTTTACATCCCCCAAGTATTTCTGACGGACCTGAAGGTTTGCTTAAAATGGTAGGAAGTAAAACAAATCCTCGGCCCTGGCCCAGTTCTGCTGCGACTGGTGTGATTCCATCGCAAGATAACTTTATTAGTTTAGGGGCTATTGTGGCTCAGTGGAATAGTTATCCACCAATTGGAAGGTCGAGGGTGCAGTCAACATACCCAAGTGTTCATGGGAAAGATACTTCACAACAAATTGCATTAATGGCATCGTCAACAAAGGATGAATGTGTCTCTCTGTAGGCCTCTGAATGAATGTGTGTGAAAGAGTAAATGCTGAATGTAAAAGCATTTAGGAGATGACAAGGACCAGAAACTGATATATTTAAACATTTACCATTTTCATGTGAGGTATTCGATTGTAATGGTCTCTGGGGCTTTTATGACAGTTTCAGTCAACTTTAATGTACACTGTAACACAAATTGCCGTTGAATTACCTAAACTACTGGCAGCTATGTTTGCCAGCATCAATCTGTTTTTCTACAGTGAACCTACTGTAATCTGCAACAGTTCATTACTGTAAAACATATTACAGTAACGTATCGAGTAAAAGCTTTACAGTATAATTCTGTCAGCTGTTTGGTTACCGTTATACTGTTTTTTTAGTGTTCCTACTGTAATCCCTAAAAAACATTTGATAAATGTGAAAGGGGACCTATCATGCAAAATGCACTTTGTGATGTCTTTTATACATAAATATGTGTCCCCGGTGTGTCAGGGAACTCACGCAGCGTCAGAAAATAAAACCCTCTCTCTTTTCTTTTCCGTACCCAAATACTTTAAAAATGGGGGTCCAACGAGCGGATACAGATTTTCTGCCGATATTACGTAATTTCGGATGGTGGACCCACAGAGAGTTGCTATCAGAAACAATGCCTGACGTGTTTTGGACGTAATCTCGTCTTTGTTTACATTAGCAAGCCTCGCTAACACTCATACCTCATTCACACCAACGCAACTCCGGTTCAAGCTCCGTGCTAGAGCTTTTCAGGTTCAGAACCGGTTCTTCGGTTTAGCTCTGGCTCTTTTCACACTGCCCAGAGTCCGACTGGTAATGCGTCATCGTTTGCGTCATGACGTAACCTTTTGCGTGCCTGATTCATAAAGCCAAACCGCGCGGATGAAATAAATTGCATTCATTTCTTATGGCTCTATCTGCAACTTTTCCAGAGTCATTTCTGTGGTTTAGAGACTATATTCTTATAAAAAAGTGTACTCGTGTCAATAAAGGTTTTTTTAATAACGCGTTAACGCAAAAAAAAATAACGCCACTAATTATTTTAACGCGATTAACGCATGTGTATTTTTTGTCCTCGGCCGCCCCGTAGTTTCAGAGCGCATCGAGTTTAAAATACCATCTACAAGCTGATGCTGACAGCCCCGCTCCTGCTGCCCGCTTGTGGCAGACCACACTTCCACGCTCACCGGCAGGCACCGACTGGCCATCGGGAGGACCGGGAGGGTGTGTGTATGTGTGGCCCGAGCGAGCGTGCATTGTTGTTGTTAGCATCTGGTGCTAGCTAGCTGCGCTAACGGATATAAGGAGCTGTTTCAATGAAAACAGAGGAGCGACATTTCGCCGAGCACTTGACTTTATGCAGGTAGCCAGACAGTGGGACATTGTACGAAAAGTCAGCACACTCAGCACGAATAGTGCGCGCAACATGATTGCAGCGTCCAGGCAGCTCCCGTTCGAGCATATGCCTTGAGCTGCACATAGCTCCAACGATCCATCACACACGCACACACACACACACACACACACACACACACACACACACACACACACACACACACACACACACACACACACACACACACACACACACACACACACACACACACACACACACACACACACACACACACACTTTGTATTGTATTATTGTATGAGAGGTTCCAGGTTGAATTGAGGCGAATATTTGTAATGTTCAGAGGTTGATGTGTTTAATATTCATGAGAATATTTTGTCATTGTTCAAATGATAATAAACACACATATAAAGCATATTTGTCCACTCATATGTTGATAAGAGTATTAAAAACTTGAAAAATATCCCTCTAAGGTAAATTTAGAACAGATAAAAAATGTGTGATTAATTTGCGATTAATCGCGATTAACTATTTTAATCGACTGTCATATTTCTTAAGGTGGACTGAACCATGAGTGTGGAGTAACGTTGTATCTTTAATTTAAATGAACTGTAACCTTCACCCAGGTATGTAACAGCTGTTCTCAAATGAACACATGAAGTAAAGTTTAATATTTATAGTTTTATAGATTTATAATGAGTTATAATGAGAGGTGATCAACATGAATGCTCAGGTTCCACCTTAACACGCAGACACGTTGCTTCACCATGAGCAGAAACCTTTATATATACAGTCTATGGCAGAAACACTGAAACTCTGAAACACTGAAACTCTTGTTAAGTTTCTCCATCGTTGTACAAACTGGATAAAACGCAGGCTTTTTGTTGTTCAGGAGTTGATCCTGTCTCTGTTGCCGCCTCGACGTAAGCGTGACGTATGCGGTGCTTTTGCTCTGGCCGAACAATTTTTTGGTGCTTGAAACGAACCGGATTCCGAAGCTAAGAGGCTGCTCCGCCGCGGTGTGAACAGGAAAACCCAGTGCTTTCTCTAACAGGGCTGGAAAAGAGGGGTATGAGCAGTATGAGGCATGGCTACAATGGGTGATCTGTTTGGGATTTTAAGCAAAAAACTTCCCAGACATGTTTTGTATAGGTACTGTATGGCCCTACAATATATGTTTCCAATATAGCATAATAGGTCCACTTTAAATTATTCAAATTTAAAATGTATTTTTAAGCAAATGATACAATAAAATATATCACATTTGTAAAAGTAAACATTGTGTTAACACAATAGGCGCTTGCACACCAAGTACTTTTCCCGGGAATAGTTCCCGGAACTTAGTTCCCCGGAAATGTTTAGTTCCGGAACTATCTAGTAGATCGCGTTTACACCGGAGTAAGTCCCTGAGGGAGCCGCTGACGTTTCTTCTTCTTCTTCTTCTTCTTCTTCTTCTTCTTCTTCTTCTTCTTCTTCTTCTTCTTCTTCTTCTTCTTCTTCTTCTTCTTCTTCTTCTTCTTCTTCTTCTTCTTCTTCTTCTTCTTCTTCTTCTTCTTCTTCTTCTTCTTCTTCTTCTTCTTCTTTCTTATACCGTGACAAAAATCAACAATCTTCTATATTCTGCCTTTGGAGAAATTCCTTTGTGTTGAATGTGAGCTAAATAAGACGGTAGATACTGTACGAAATTCTCTGTATTTGTGCAGCTATTTGTTACAATGTGAATCACAGCTGAGCTGACAATGTGTACTGAAGGACACTCTTTGTGGTCAATCCTGGTTATTATTTTGATATGAGACTATTGAAGTATATATAGTGCCAATAGCCATGTCGCTAATTTAGCTGATTGCAGCACTTAAATAAGTAAGGACTGTGTTTGTTAACAAGATGAATGATGGACACAACTGACTAAATACGACCACATTGGTTTTTTACTCTAATTATCTCTTAAAGCAAAGTCTGAAATGTTTCTCCTTCCTGTTTCTGTGTCAGCTCCAGAAGAGTAAGGAAAGAGAGGAGAGGTTGGAGGAAGTCATCCAGGCTTATGAGAAGATTCACCTGGAGAAGAGCAACGTCCAGAGGGACCTGGACAAGATGGTAAACACACACACACACAGACACACACTGTTTGGTGGTAATACAACGTTTGTGTTAAGTGTCGAGCAGCAGTTTGTGCTTGAGTTTCACCGTAATGTGTGTGTTTCTCAGACCTCTCTAGGCAGAGCAGCATGTGGAGCAGATCTGCGGTCTGGAGTCGGCTCTCAGACAGAGAGAAACATCTCTGCAGAAGCTCAGCGTTCAACTCCGCAGCAAAGACGCACACAAGTCTCATCTGCAGCTGCACGCCAGCCTGGACGTTCCCCGAGGTGGGTTCTGTGTGGAGCAGCAGACAGAGATGCACTGTTCCCCGGTGGTGGACTGTGTGCTTACATGTGCTATTTTGAGTGCATCAGTGCATCCCAATGTGAAGCATGGTGAAATGCTCTGATAACCCAGATGGTGCACTGCTAACGGTCAAAGAGTGTGGATCGATGCACCCTCCTCATGCTTAACAACCACCGGCCGTGATTTCGGTTGCTTTGATAAACACAGCAATATACAAATAAAAGTTAACATATTTTTTCTTACACCAACTATAATAGTGTCAAAAATAAGTAATAGTAAATAGTTTGGGATTACTTAAAAGACAGATGTCAACGCTAGGAGCTCACAATCCTCAATTTGTTTCCATATAAAGTAAAGTAAGTATATAAAGAAGAATGTAAGATTTACTGTAACACTATTAAGCTGCTTGGCTAAGGTACGTTACTTAGCCTTGAAGTAATCCTGGTTCAGGTTACAATGTCAGGTATTAAGCTAGTTAGCTTACAATAAAGCCGACAATACTTACCCTCATACTTCTGGTTGTGGAGGCAGTAATCAAAAGGAAACTGTCATCTGAATCCTTTTAAGCTTATTCCTCCATTAATTTGGGGGCGGCAGTAGCTCTGGGACTTGGCTTCAGAACTGGAGGGTCGCCAGTTCAAGTCCCAGAACGGACCGAGTTTGGAATGTTGACTAGTGCTTTGAGAAGATGTATAAAAGCTGCCAACTGCTCCGAATACAAGAACGGGTTAAATTCGTATTCTTATTTTTATTTATTTTTCAACTTTATACAACAATTATCCCATTACATCAGAAAAAGCTCGTAAAACATCAGGATTTAGAACATTCATTCAAAACTGAGGGCATTATTAACCGAAAACATTAAAAAATCACAAGTTGTCATTCAGGAATTAAGATGTTTAGAAAAAGAAATTGTTGAGTTTTTTTTACTTTTTCACAATTTAATTAATTAATTATATAATTTCACGTTATTAAGAAATGCATAAACACTAGGGAAATATCGATAACATAACATTTGTGTATGAAATATATTGTTAAAGTAATCAAATGAATCATTCCAAATTCAGTTTTTGGTTTTAGAAAATGCAAAGCCACATTTTATATTATCACACGTTATGACCGGAAAGTTCTTCTAATTTTAAACTGGAAAGCATCCCAAAATATTTGAACTAGGCTACATTGAAAGAAAAGAAAATATGTTCTAATGTTTCAATCATCAAATTACAAAGAGAACGGGCTAAGAGACTTATTTTCACGTCCTCCATTAGACCAGTGTCCTGTACTGATGTGTGTGTGGTTCTGTCAGAGGGGCCGGGGGGGGCCGCTGCAGAGCTCCCGCAGCCTGGACGCTCTGTCCGACCTGAAGCTGCAGCGCCTGGAAGCCGAGCTGGAGGGGGCCCGGCACCGGGAAGAGGGGGCCTGCCACCGGGAGGGGGAGCTGAGGGCCGAGCTCAAGAGGCTGCAGAAGGAGGTCACAAAGCTGCAGGAAGCACAGAGACAGGTCCAGGAGCCCCCCCCCACACTGTGAGCACTGCGACGTAGAGTGGATAAAGAAGGCCGGGGACGAACAGTAAGTGTGACTCGGAAGCAGTGTGTATATCTGTCAGATTGTGATATGTTGTTATTCAGACTGTGTTGTTGTTGTTGCAGGGTTAACCTAGCATTAGCCTACACAGAGCTAACGGAAGAGTTGGGTCGTGTTCGCAGTCTGGCTGTGAAACAGAGCGACCTTCTGCGGGACGTCTCACAGGAGCCTCGTAAGCACCCCAGTGGATTATTGTGTAATTCACTTCATGGTATCATTAGATATCATAAAGAAGAGGTTATACTAATGAGAAGATATTAAGAAAGTTCAGAAAAATCGACTGGAGGCAGGCATAAGCACACAGAAACTAACCACTTGACAAAACACAGCTGGAAAGGGCAGGTCAAAACACAGGAACAACAGGTGGAAAGAATCAAGGCGGGGCAAACTAAGCACAACAGGCGGGAAACTCCAAAGACAGGAAGTGAAGTGTTTGACGAAACACACAAAAGGTTGGGGTAGGTCACATTGGAGAAGCCAGCAAAACTAAGTTTGATTTTTTAAACTGTCTGACCTGAGAGACCCAGCCCAGTGTTGCCAACTATTTTCCAATAAAGTAATAGGACCTCAGTTTAAAGATAAAGGTTCAATAGGCATGTTGATGGTGAATTTGAGGCTTCTTCACGAACACAAACGTTCTTTTGTGATCATGTACGTTTAGTATTCAAAATGTGTATTACAGTCGAAGCTAAGCACATGTGGCTCAGGGGGAATATGGGGCATCTATGAATTTGAGGGTCAGTGGTATGATCCTCAGCCCACACGGCAAGGGACAGGCAACATGGCCAATCACAAAGACATAATCCTAATAATTAGCCTCCGCTAGGTATTTCATATTAGCTGCGATGATACAGACCTGAGGCCGATAGGGACAATCATGTATTTTCATCACCTTAATAGTGTTAATGTGTGAAATGTACATGCCAGGATATGACCTGATGATCAGTAATGCATATTTTGTTAAAGAATTGTATCGTTCTCATGCTTCTGATAAAGATGCTGT